ATGCAATAAAATATTGAGTATTAAGTACCCTATCCAGGCCAAAGCCGGCGCGCGCCCTATATGCGCCCTAATTGACAGCCATTATCACTCAATTTAGCGCCCACTCTAGATTGTAGGTTTTGTTAAATAGAAATCAATAGCAATCAAGCCCTGTTGCAATTTACTTTGAAACGATTCATTTGATCGTGCGGTGAAAAACCCACACATCGCAATTAAATAGATTCTTGATGTAGTTGAAAATCTGTCTGTTTTGTTTCGGTACAAGTATTTTGGCATTAATATAGATTACACAACATACAGTTACTTTGAGCTTGATAAATATTTATGCCATCAATCAGACAAAAGTGTTTTTGATGGCGTGACACGTGATTATATTATGTTTTGTGATAGAGCAAGTACAGTATATAAGCTAGCTTTTGTAACGTAGGTAAATAAACCCTTAAAAAGTAGAGGTTCCACAGCTTTTGCATATAAAAATATCTCTTCTGTTAATTCCAAATTTTTTCACAACCTCGAGTGAGACTCCTGCCATATCCGGGCACGGTTACTAAATTACGTTTACTTGCTATTTATTATTATTTTAGAAGTTTATCCAGGGTGTTTACAGAAGGAGAATCACTATTGGAGTTCGTTTTACTGAAGCCTAAAAGCTATGGAAGAAGCCTTACGCTATTATTATGTTACATATTTTATATGCTATACAATTTCTACCGAAATAGGTATATCCTATTGAATGCAGAAATCTGAGACCCGTATCACAAAATGACACTCAAGTATAAATTCACACTAAAGAAACGATCTAAGCCTGCGATTTTGTTCAAATGGAATTCAATCAATCAAAGACTTGAATCTAACTTGAGTTTGTGTCTACTTTTGAGTTTCGTTCAATGATACGAGGCTACAGTAGCCTAAACTAATGCTTGATGGATGGTAATTGCCCGTCAACAGAAACTACAATGGAAGTTTGAAATACCTTCAGAAGAATTATCTTTTAATAGCGATGAGTCTACTTGTTTCATGATGGTTGGGATGTGGTGTTTAAATGGATATGTTTTATAGTTTTATCAAATGAAAAGAGGACCCAATTCCTGGCGCCATAAGTTACAAATATGTTGGGACAAGTTATTCTAAGGCTAGGCAATTTCAACTCAATATTGGCACTATCATCTCCCTCCGAGGCCGAAGAAATATTGAAAACCCACGTGACACCCTGTGACTCGCACTTCTCTTTTAAACATATTACTCCATTAGATATCACTAAAACTTTTAATCTTTTAAACGTAAAGATAGTGTCCGACCGAATATGGATTTTCAGCCGAAAACGGAAACGAAAACGAAGCTTCGGCTGCAGTCTCATTTTCGGCCGAAAACGAAAACGAAAACGAAAATGACCTTCAACTCTCAAATTTCAATCTGAAATTATGTAAAACTTTGAAAACCGTTAATGTTTTGACCAAAAACATAATGATGTTTTATAGTTGATTTTGATAAGGATTGATTAAAGAAAACCGGCATTAAGACACAAAAAAATAATTATGAATTCTTAGTAGAATATTATTTCCGGTGTATATTGAAATATTGGGAAGTGAAGAAGAAATAAAAGTGGGGTTCAGTGGGAATTTTTCAACTTTTTTTTTTATGTGATAGGAGGCAAACGAGCAGACGGATCACCTGAAATGTATTCCTGCAAAAATGTATTCAACAAATAAATTAATGATTTTTTATTATTTATTACTAATGCAAACTGGAGTTTAACAATGCGGATTTAATTTTTTATAGGCAATGTCTTTTAAATGATGCCCGTTTTACTATAGGCACTCTCACAGCCGGACCCTTACATTCGCAACTATGCGAGAGCAAATCGCGCTAATAATTTTCCTGCAACTTCACGGCGGATATTTTCTTACAGAACCTGAATTATTTAAGGACTGTAAACTTTTCACTTGAGATATCTCCACAAGAAAAAGTCGCATGGTGTGAGATCTGGTGACCAGTACTTGCTGATCATTTATTTGAAAAAAAAAAATGGTCCTCAGTGTCTCCATCGAGGTACTCTCCGTGTGTGGTGAGACACCTTTTTGCTGAAATAGAGTTACGTAGTTGACCGGGATGCAGTTGTGGTATCAGACATTCATTGATCATTCGACAATACATTTCAAATACTCTAATAATGCTCAACTGCGAACGCTCTGTACCTCTAGTAGGAAAAACTTTCGAGTTCGTTTCGTTGCGTATTCAAAGTGTCATCGAAAAATTTTGTATGAAAAATTAAACAGCGCCCCCTAGGGCGGCTATAATATAGGGGGCGCTGTTTAATTTTTCATACAAAATTTTTCGATGACACTTTGAATACGCAACGAAACGAACTCGAAAGTTTTTCCTACTAGAGGTACTGTAGGCTCCCGACCAGTGACTCGTGACGTATTTCAAATCCGCATTAGACTCTATTTTGAAACAATTAAACTTAATGAAAACTCTTTGGTTTTATTTGTATTCAATTTTGAACTTGGAAAATTCTCGCTGGACACCCTTTACAACGTAACCTCATTTCACAACTTCAAGAGTGTGACAATACCTCGTCCGTTCAAGTCTGATTGGAACCATGAGTGCACCAGATTCACTCCCGAAGATATCGGAACGATAAACGTCACCATCTTATTCACGTATTTTTGATATTCGGTTTGGCCGAAGCTTCGGCTGGTTTTTGGCCGAAAACGAAAATATGGCCGAATGTCCATTTTTTGGCCGAAAATGGCCGAAAACGAAAACGAAAACGAATATTCGGTCGGTCACTACGTAAAGAGTACAACTGATATCNTTTGTAAGAACTATTTATTAGTCCAAACAAATAAAGAAATTTTGACTTTGACTTTTGACTTTATCAGTCTCTTTCACACGCCACGGGGTGCAATACAAGCATACATAAGTGATAGATCCATTATCTAAAACGAAACAGTTTCTGTAGATAGCCACTGATTGTTTAGTTTAATAAAACTAAAAAAAGGTATTTTTCGGACTAGACACAGCAACGACCAAACTCAAGCTTCCTTAAAATGTACTAATTATTTTCCTATTGACATTAGTGAGAAGAGTAGTCGATTGAAAGTTTACAATTCTTTTATATTTTGTTTTAAAATACGCGCTTGTAGGCACATGAATTAGATTTAAATGTTCCTAAACTTACGTTAATTCAAAAGGTATGTGTATGGATGGGAAGGGATATTCAAGATTATTTTATTATTTATCCTAAAATATGTTGTTACACAACCTACCGTAAGACGGATTTTTGACTGTCAAGTCGAATTAATTATTACCCACGCGAAAGTTGCGTTTTTCCATTTGCGTCGTTACTAACCCCTTAGATTCTACTTTGGCTTCTGCCAATCACAAATGAGAGACGTCACCGGGCCGAAGCCTTGCTCGGCCAACTCGCCGAGGCAGAGCGAAAGTGACGCGCTTGGCAACGCCATTCTATCATTAAATTAGTAATCTCAAGAGTAATGTTATAAGTAATATAATATACACGAATGCTCTCTACCTATCTCGATCGATATTTTTTTATTTCTCTGGAGTAGAGTAAAAATAGAGCGTTTTGCAACGCCATTCTATCATTAAATTAGTAATTTTAAGAGTAATGTTATTTATATACACGAATGCTTTCTAGCTTTCTCGATAATTTATTTTTTTCTCCGGAGTAAAATAAAAATAGAACGTTTGGCAACGCCATTCTGTCATTACTTGAGTAATCTCAAGAGTAATGTTATATACACGAATGCTTTCTAGCTTTCGCGATAATTTCTTTATTTCTCCGGAGTAGAATAAAAATAGAGCGTTTGGCAACGCCATTCTATCATTACTTGAGTAATCTCAAGAGTAATGTTATATACACGAATGCTTTCTAGCTTTCTCGATAATTTCTTTTTTTCTCCGGAGTAGAATAAAAATAGAACGTTTGGCAACGCCATTCTATCATTACTTGAGTAATCTCAAGAGTAATGTTATATACACGAATGCTTTCTAGCTTTCGCGATAATTTCTTTATTTATCCGGAGTAGAATAAAATAGAGCGTTTGGCAACGCCATTCTATCATTACTTGAGTAATCTCAAGAGTAATGTTATATACAATAATTATTTCTAGCTTTCTCGATCATTTCTTTATTTATTTATTTCTCTGGAGTAGAGTAAAAATAGAGCGTTTGGTAACGTCATTTTATCATTAAATGAGCTGCTATAAAATAGTGTATGATCAAGAGTAAATAGTATTATTTCTTAATTATTTCTAACTTTCACGGTCATTTCTTTATTTATTTATTAACTGGAGTAGTGTAAAAATAGAGCGCTTGTAATAATTTTATCATAACATGAGTTTGCTATAAAACAGTAATCGCGTGTAAATATGATTTATTTTTTATTGTATACATATATTTGTATATTATTAAGTTATGTAGTTTTTTGTTTGTAATAATATAATGGGGTCGCAAAAATATACAATATGCATTATTTTAAACCTATCATCAATGTATATTAAATTTACGTTAATGATGTATAAAAATTGAGTGTAAACGTGTGTACCTCGTTCAAACCGTCGCAGACAATACAAAGAGTCCTGAAAAAGACTTAAATCCTAGACTTACCTTGGTCCAGCGATGGGAACAAACGCTGCTCGTGCGCCAGGCTCGGCGCAGTAGTGTAGTGCCGCTGGCGCGCGCTCGAGCCCGCTCTGCCCGCAGCGCCTGCAGCGAGGCGGCAGGCGGCACCGCTGCCCGCCTGGCTGCGTGCACCTCATCTCACCTTCTTTACCTTTTACACACCTACAAAAACTTATTTTACTTCCAGACAAAAAACCTCGAAGTTTTTAGTCAACATTTGTGACCATCTTCCAATATCCCGCATTAATGAAATGCGAAATAAATTGATAGCCAACCTTTTGTATGGACTACTGGGAATTTGGAATTTTGAAAAAAAAAAGTGCCAATTGGGTATCTAATTTTATATTTTTTTTAATTTTGGTTTTAAGAAATTGTTTGCCAATGGTAATTTCAGCGTCCATATTATGTACTAGGTACATAAAGTTTTATAAAACATCAAATGAAGTGTAAACTTCACATAGTGTAAGACTTCGTCTTTGGTAGGTACACACGTGCGGCAAAGTGCCGGTCAGTCAGGTACTCTAATGCTGGGCCGTGTACATACAAACATTTACATTTGAATAACATGCATTTTCCTTATGTAAGAGACATACCTACGCCCGTATTCACAGACACCAATCACAGAGCTCTATACAACGCTGTGCATTCGATTTGCTACTTCACTTAAGCAAGTATCGTTTGTGAATACGGGCAATACATATTTAAATAAGAATCCAGCCTATCGCTTAACCTGTTATTTAGAACTACGAGTATTATGTCTTTAAAATATATTCTCTGTAAAATTTTAAATCTTGAATCACACACAATTGAAATTATCGTTTGTATGAATTTAAATTGTCTATTTGGGTTAACAAATAGCGAGGATTCCAGTTCCACGTCCTTAAAACGTATAAGTACATATTATATATTATATATGTCATATTTTGTATTGTTAAATAGGTACAACATCAATTCGATAATGTAGAAGCTACATAAATATAAATAGTACACATATTTTTTTCAAGCGGTGATAAGTATACATAATAAACAAAATACAGCGAAAGTACACGGCCCAGTGTAATTAATCACAGCACAGAGATGAGCGCAGACATCGCCTAGCCACAGATGCGGCGTGTGATATTTGAGACTCATACTTAGATGTATTTTAAAATACATACTCGTAATGTATTAGTAGGTATTTAATTGTATAACTCTTCACGTGTTGGTTGTGTTCTGGTTTTTTGACTGCTCACCACTGTGTGGTGACAGATACATCAGTTGGTTGGAAAGTTTTGTAGTTCTATACGTTCAGATGTCGGCGGAGCAGGGCCGAGGCCGGGCTGGCGGTGGCGCGAGTTGTCGAAGGTCCAGCGGCTGATGAAGCGCTCGCGGCGGCGCGACCGGCCCGCGGGGCCCGCGCCCGAGGGCCCGGCCGCCGGGCCCGCGCCGCTCGACGGGCCCGCGCCGCTCGACGGGCCCACGCTCACCACGGCGCAGTTGGTCGTCGCCTCCGTGCAGCTCACGAACGACGCTGCGGACAAAAGCCTGGTTACGCACACGCATAAGAACCGCCACAAAGCCAAGACTTACAAAGTTCACGTTGCCGCTGAAGAAACCCAGCAAAAAATGCTCGAAGACAATGTGCCTGAGTGGATGTCGAGCTGCGAAAATGTGCTGAAAGTTTTCTTTTCTACCAGAATGTCACCTCATAAAAGGATAAAGTTCCCACAGATTCTAGCGTCAAATTAAGCAAAACTTAGTGAACCTGAGATATGCTTATTATCCGGTCTGACGGACACCCGATCGCCTTAAGGATAAGATCGCTTTCGAAAAAAATTATATAAACTTATTAAAATTGTAATTTTAATAACGACCGTCGTCGTCAGCGAGTCCATTAAAAGTTTTCGTAAATGGCGCATAATGGACAAACCCTGAAAGATCGTTGGAAACTAATCGAAGGCAGACAACCTTGTTTAACAGAGAGTTAATCCGAACGGGTGAAGATCGTACTCCGGGAATATTCCATTGCCAATATTGAATGTTTGATTTGAATGTTAGAGGTCATGATGAGTAGTCAATTATGGCGTACCTAGTCCCATTTGTCATTTGTTACCGACATGATATCATTCTGAGTTGTTTGGACTTCACTATGTTATATTCGAAAATGCAGGATGCTCATGAAATACAAATTTTAATATTTCTGTAAAAAACCTTGAAATAGGTTAAGTATCTCTTTAAGACAGAAATTAAATTAACGAACAGGAGAGATAAGAAGAAAAAACACTATTAAAGGATCTTCTGCATTAATGTACGCTGTATAATTGTACGAGGTCTTGCGTACGGCAGTAACGGCTTAACGCGGGGAATAAATCCTTTATGGGCAGCGGGCAAGGTCGCGCGGATCCCGCCGAGCTCTTAAACCGGCTTAAGAGCGCGACTCGCAACAACCGATAAATCTCGCCCGTTCTAATTTTTTATTTTATGTAGGAAAAGGCCCGAGAAGCCGCCCCTCGAGAAGCCTCAAGCAGTTGCCCACGTTTTATGCTAATTTTGTGTATCTTTTATGGCGCTTCAGATTGGCTCTATGTCAAACGAAATGTACATTTCCCTACAAACACTTCAATGTACTCAAGGTATTGAAAATCAGACAAATGTGCCTGTCGTGAAAATTCTTTGCTCAGAAGATAATGTCAATATCGATAAAGTTACAAGAAGCAACAATATACCTGTTTTTCTATACAATCCAAGCCGCTGGCATCATCAGCTTATATAACATCTGTCTGGGCGCTCATTAACATTAACAAGCTTATAGTGTCAAGTCGAGCTCTGTGACGCCTGCCCTGGGCCGTAACAATGCCGCCTAAGACGTTTCTATTGGGAATAAGGCGTGCCTATTGTTCTAAAAATAAGAAACATTGTGGCAGTCAATGTGAGATTTTCATGACACGGGCCAGCTCTCAATGTCAAGCTTCAACGACTCGCCAGTCCGGAGTCGAATTAACTAGTCTGGTTTTATGACTATCTCCCGAAAATGGTCGGTGGCTTAGCTGTTAGGCTGTTATGTAATTTGATTCCATTTTTGATGTCTCAAATTAATTAAATAAGAACCTTCGTATCTGAAAGCTTTGCGATATAAAAATAAATTTAGGCATTGTAGCAGACGGCCTTTTTTTCTCGTTTAAAGTGCTTTGAATAACATTAATAGGTTAACAAGAGCGCGGCAAAGAAATCGAAATGTGGAATGGCCCGCAATGATAGCCGGGTGAACTTCAATTTGTCCGGACGCCGGCAATCTGCGCGGCGATCCGGCCGGATAAGTCGGGGGAACGGTTCCGGAGGGAAAATACCGGTCGCTGCTATGGACAAAAACAAACTTGTTTTATGTTTCTTTAACAAGTTGACGGACTTTTAATAGTTAGTCAGTTATCTTGTCAGTTAATTTAAACAAGCTTTATTTAATAATGGTGGTCTCTGTGGTCTTAAGGGCTTTAAAAATACGTAACTTCATAATATTGATGATGAAAATGTAAGGATTGACCGATACCGTGGCTTTATTATCGACTCTCGCGACTGATAAACCTTAGAACTCATTATTAAACTTGCTCCAGACACAATGTGCCATTATTATGCCAATAATTAACGCCAACGAAACTTCCTTGTAATGGAAAATGATAATGAAGGGAAGAAAAAACCATTTAATTTCGGATTGCCGTGGGTTGTGATGGAGCGACCAGTAGGCGCTGGTTTGATCCAAGTGGAAATGTAAATACTGTCAATTTGACTAAATTGCTTTGAAAATTATACGAGGAAAGGTCATCATGATTTATGATCACGCCCGTAACAGTTACTATGAGTATATCATCCGTAGGTATCCCAACTAATATTATAAATGCGAAAGTAACTCTGTCTGTCTGTCTGTCTGTCTGTCTGTTACGCTTTCCCGCTTAAGCCTCGCAACCGATTTTGATGAAATTTGGCATAGAGATAGTTTGAGTCCCGCGAAAGAACATAGGATAGTTTTTATCCCGGTTTTTGAAACAGGGACGCGCGCGATAAAGTTTTTCTGTGACAGACAAAATTCCACGCGGGCGAAGCCGCGGGCGGAAAGCTAGTAATAAATAAATCCAAAAAAGATATTGCCATATTTACAAATGCTTTATCTTTTTTAACCCTTAAGGTGTGAGCCGTCTACAATAAATTGTAGAAAGTTATTGCAGCGGAATGATTGTCTTTTCCAAGAAAAACAACTTGATACAAATTCGTGATATTAAATTTCATCAGGAACATCATGATTATGCAAACCAAGAGAACAAGATGCCGAGCTGTCAGAAAAACCACTTCAGTCGTCCGAATGCTTTTGAATTTTGTTTCCAGAGACACGAAAGTAAAAAGTGGTGCGACGCGTTAAGAATAATTAGAAAGATACAAAGATCAAAGACGTCGCGCATTAATTAGTGTTTGATAAGGGCGCGGAACACTGAAGGCGTGTGCGTACGACTGGCTGCTAGCCCCGTGCCAAGGTCACGCTCACGCTCGCAACGGTACAGTTAGGTCGGAGGGGTCTCCTCCCACAATGTGTGCGGTAAAGTTCGATGTCAAAAAATATTTTCTATATTTTTCTTTTTCTTGACTAAAATACATCTCAAACATGTTGTTAACTTGTCTTACTTGTCCCTTGGTCACCTATAGCTTCACGTGTAAAAAAGATGAACGATTTATATGGGCGCTTAATGAAATTACATATTGACCTTGCAATAAAATAAAGACCACATTGCTATAACCCTTATGGGGTTAAGAAATATAACCACGACTGTATCACGTAGCCGTGTGAGTGCGGCTCGCACACAAAGACGCGGGGCTCCTGCTAAAATGGCTGCTCAGAGTGAATGAGTCCATTCATCGTTTGCAGCACCCCCTGCACACATGCACACAGCAGTTGAAGCTTGGCGCCTGCACACTAACTCTTGGGGACTCTTGTTTTCAACGGCATCGTTTGATACTTTGTCACGGTCAGTGTTACAAAGTTAGCTGCAGAAGAATTCAAATAAAGCAATATCCTCTATGTCACCGCACTATTATTATATTTAAAGTGACATAAATTAGATCATTTCAAATTAATTGGCAACGTAATAGTTCTACTCGTAAAGTAATTTATTTCGTGCTTAGGTAAACTATAGAATAGAATAGAATATTGTTTATTTGGCACAATACACAATGTAGGCAGAATACAAAATAAAACATACAATATAGAACTAAAAACCCAAATTAAAATAAAGAGTGCCCTGTGCCAAAAAGGTCCCTGGCTCAGCATTAGTCGTGACATTAAAGGTGCCACGACACTGATTTTCAGCAAGGACCTTTGGGGCACTGGGGTCGCCGTAAAAAATTAAAAACAAACACAGATTACCTATCACAGAAATACAGACAGTCAAATCATGAAACAATCAATTATATAAAATAAAAATAAAAATAAAAAAAGTTCTAAAAGTGCAAAATGTACAATTAAAGATGACCCACGCTGAACCATTCCATCAAACTAAATGACAGGGGGACATTATATAGCTAGTATTTGGAACTAAGTATTCAACTATCGCGAAGACGAACCACCCTCCATATATCAAGAGTTGCGGTCTCATTACAACGGTCACATAAGCGCCTTAGCCGCCCTAATTACTACCATATTCTATTTGATCTAATCTTTAACATGTGCGCGTTACGTATTAAATCGGTGGAAAGTTTTGTTCGTTTGCGAGGAAAATCTTTGGGATAATCACGATTCCAAAAAAAGCTGTAGAAATCTGCGCTTCATCTGAATGTCAGACTACTTTTAATCCTAGAAAACCATGCGCCTTTCTGAATATAAAAGTTTTATAAGATTATCTCGTATTCACGAGTTCTTAGATAATATTATAGCGATCAAGTGAAACCTCTGCGGACAAAAGATACGCCCATTTAAATCGAATAAAGTACTGAATTCTAAAAGTTTATTCTAATCTCTTCCGCGCACAAACTGGGCATAGTATTGAACTTTATTGTTTTAGTCTTCTCAGTAAATTATTGGATTTCGACTTAAAGAACTTTTATATCCATAACACAGTTAAATCACTTGGTTAGAATATAAACTTATAAAAGACTTAAGTTTATTACTATCGCAAGTCTTCATGAACTACCTAAAGTTATTTAACCGTCAGACTTGAAATCCGCACGCGAGTTACGTAATAAATATTCGTCTCTTTAAAATAGACATGATTGTCACAAAAAAGTTTTTGCTTTCCCAACGGGATCGCAATAAAAACCATCAAATATTTTCAGTGATCGGTCAAAGGGAGTTTATCAAAGTGCAGCGTTTGACGAGCGGGCGCTGGCGGGCGGTGTTTGCCGACGTAAGTCAATATAGGCGGCCGGCGCGGCTTTGATATGGCTGGAGCGTGAGGCGAGTGACAACAGTCGACATAAATGGCTAAACTTTGCGAAACTGGACAGTATTCCACTCACTATTGGCATTAAATGGATTTTTTTTACTGATCCATGTAAATAAAGAGATTTGCTTGGCATTAAACAAAAAGTTACCTTTTCTATTAAAATGTAATAAGCTATCGCGTTTGTTATCAAGTCGTATTATTTTTTATCATTAAATTTCGGTTCGTGCAAGATCAAATTAATTCAAAAGTCACAGCGTATAAAGTTGTACACCGCTCCCTGGCTGCCCACGCCACGCGCGTCAAGAAAAACATAGCAAGAAATGGCAAATTAGAAAAGTCCCTAAAACCTTTCGAATAGTCCGAGTGTACGAAATAAGAAAAGTTTAGTGCCGAAACAGGTTCGTGCAAAAGTTGGATTCCATCTACACTTTTTCTATGAATTCCAATCTCAAAACAAATACTTAAACCATTTTGTTTGCTTCAAGTTAAGAATTTATGGATTTTAATAATAATATAATAATAAAGGTGCTTATTTTGAAGGAGCTTTTACGAGGAATCGATTTGTTTTTCCACGCGAGCTTTTATTCGTTGTTATAAGTTGGATTGGCGTGAAGGCTATCGAACAATAGCTAAAAGGTATAATAATATTATAATCCTCTTAACATTTCTTGAGCCGTAAATAAAATTCTTGTACATTATATTGATTGGCCAGCGTTTCATACGAATACAAATTTTTCTAAACGTGCTTTTACAAGTTGATACAAAAGTGGGCCAAAAAGTTAACTAAGAGTAAGTAGTAATAATCAAATGATAATAATTAACCGTTTACTTGTATAAGTTTCAGTATTAAACATAACTTATTAACAAATACCAGATAAGGAGAATTGAATTAAGAACTTTTGAGCACTAGGAACTTAACTGTAAAGTTTGCCATTGTTTCATGCAGTTCTTGGGATGAAACTTAATTCTGTAGTATATTTAATATTATGGAACAAAAATCTCTTAGCTTTAGTTAGTTTCTAAGTAGACGTCAGGTTTTTAACGTCTGTTCGTTTTAGAAAAAATACGCCATATTGACAGCACAAGCTGTGTTTTAAGAAGCGAATTGTGTAGCTTTCGAACTCTACTGACTGATGCTGGAGGACCGCGGACGTTTCAAGACAAAAGTTGTTATACACAGCCAGCACATACGAAAAAGACTGAATGAAGACTGTTGACTGTTGTAAAGCTTTGACCTCAGAGGCTGATGACCATCCCAGAAACGCGCTGTGAGAACTAAAAATAGTCTAACTGGAGCAAACATTTGACCTCAGGAGCAAGATACAAGAGTTGACGGCCACACACTCGGAGTGGAGCAGGAAACAAGCCTAGAAGGAGTAACGTTCCTTTTTTTTTGCTTTACGCATACCCCGGGCCGCGGGGGCAGCCAGGGGTTATGTGGGACTCTCCCCGCCAGAAGGACGGGGCCTACCCACTAAAACCTCATGGGGTCCTCTGCTAGCGCGATATGAGGTGCACATAGGGCTTACCAGGGGCTTAACACCACGTGTGCACCTCGCGCATCTGCCGCAACCGGCTCCCTCCAAAGCGCGCGGAACACCCGCGCGCGCTCTGGGACTCACTTCGTTGAGGGCCTCCTCCCCCCGGAGGGTACCCCCTGTGAGCTTGCCGCCTGTGAGGCCTGCTCCTTGGAGGAGTAACGTGAATAACTTACTTGAGACGACGCTGCTGGCGCGCGCGGGGTGGTAGGCGGTGGGGCGCCGCAGCGCGACGGCGCGGCGCGCGCGCGGGCGCAGGCACGGGAACGTCTGCAGCAGCGCGCGCCGGAAGTTCTGCCCGCTCAGGCAGTACAGCACGAAGTTGATCCCGAAGTTGCTGTTGAAGAACAGGATCGCCACCTGCTGCAGCGCCGACCACCGCCCGCTGTAGTCGTTTGTGGTCTGCTGAAGAACGACTAACGTTACCACGGCTTTGTCATCACAGCTAATGGGGATTTGGGACTTTTGGAAGACCTTACAAAGATTAAGTCATTAAAATTAGATACTAGGTACTAAACTTTTAATATGTATACTACCTAGATAATCAACCTCACGCAGATGACTCAGCGATAAAACTTTCTTAATTTGTAATCTGTTACTTCGCCAAAACTTTTAATAAAGGTGGATCTACCTAGACTCAAATTCAACACTGTAATAATTATTTCTACCTAACGAGCGCTCAATAACAACCTATTAAAAACTTTGCGCAACAATATACAAAGTCAAGCCGTAGTGAATTTTAAAACCTGACATGCGATCCTGATTTGTAAAAACAACTAAGCCCCTATTGTTTCAAATTGGTGTACGAGTAACATCAAACTTGGGAATAATATTGTTTGAAGTATCCCAGTTGCTGAAGACAGATCAATCGAGACCTTGGCCCGCCGGGGAGTCGATCGCCAGAAGTTGCGAGTAATTAGGGACAGGACGCGGACACCCGTGGGACTGAACCTTTGGGGCCTGTCATTGAGATAAATGATAGGACACGGTCTTGAATCGCGTAATAACCACAACTCAAACTGATCCCACTTAAAATTCGTTTATCGTTAAGGAATTTGACGATAAATAGATTGAGTCTATATTTAGAGTCCGCGAAGTTGTAAAATTACGAAGGCTGTACCTACAAAGCGGACGTGGGTGTGGTTCCCGCAAGAACGTCACTTTTGAGGGCATGTTAAGGAATGATGTAAATCGAGTACGAGTATGTTGAGTCCAGTCCAGTTAAGAACAATCCAACAGTTTAAACCAGTACTATAAATTACAATAACACATGAATTCTAACGCCCGGACCTAAACATTTTCACGGCTAATTTGACTATTACACAAAAAAACGTTGCGAAGAACTCTATCTAAAAATATCGCCCCCACCCTAATGGAATTGGCAACTATCAACATGCAATTACTTGCTAATGCTGTTGATATTTTGCGGTACCTTGAAGGTGACCGGTAATACTTTTATTGGCTGTCGCCACAAGTTTGCGGAGGGTGCCTCGATACTGAGACGCGCCCTGTCTGGGGCATGCGAAATAATACCTTCTCCCATAAACGGTCAAGTTTACCCAAAGTTTTTGTGAATTCAGATCAGGTGGACTGCCGTGAACGATTCAGGGTCCTAAACAAACGACCTGACGCGCGTGTCCGTAATCAGACACTTTTTCATAAGCATCCCCGCCACAGCAAACAATGTAGGTAATTAAGTGCTATAGAGCCTTCGGGTTATATCAAATTGTCCACTGACAAAAAGAGGATTTGCAAATTTTTCCACCGTGACGAAGTAAGTCCTGGTATTTATTATTCGCCCCGTGGTCAGCGAATGAAAGAGATCCCGAACACGCCGTTTGAATATTGAATTTTATTGAATGATTTATTGTGATCCCGGTGTAGGTTGGAACAATCGTTCTATTTATACCTGAAAGCTAATTGGACAAGTTTCATGTAAAACACGGCACATAAATGTTATCTTTTAACTAATTTTATTGGTTAAACCTTTCACATGTGCCAAATCAAGCATACTATATTGGTAAACGTTTCGACGTTAATATATTCCGTCAATGATTTATGGAGGGAACCTTCACTGTACTCGTATAAAACACAGCGCATTCGACTATTCAATGAAAAGATGGTAGTTATTCTGGTATTTTTGGACAAATTAGACGCGAAGATAGTAAGATTTGGAAGCATAAAGCATTTTTAATCTAATAAGTTCCATTCCAATAAATAAGGCTTTGATTAAATATTTCTAAGTCAACAACATAGATTAATCAAATTACTTGTTATTGAGAGTAATGCTGCTTTAACGTAATTACATAGAAGCTCCGAGTAAATCGCGGCGCGGTATCAAAGCTCTGGGGAGCTACGAGTCCCTCAGTCGGTATTGGCCCGGGCTAATACACAGCCAATAAACAAAGTGCTTTGACCGCTGCCGTTTGCGGTGGCGATGCTAATCGATAGTTAATGCGTTCCGAACATCGCACAAACTATTTCCCCAATGATTTTGGAATGAGACGTTATTGGATGTAAGAGTACTCATAGTTTGGTTCCAACTATGCTCTAACTATACTAAAACCAGCAAGCTTTTCAATTAAAAGAAGAAATCTACACGCCACAGTATTGTAGCTTACAACGGCACGTCGCGTTCTCGACAAAAATATTAACATATTTTTTCATATTAAAATATGAATACCTTTCCAGCTAGTAGGTAATAGAATCGAGAAGATTGTTAACTCTTTCGGAAAAAAATAATAATATGTACCTACCGTTAGCTATTCCAGTCTGGTATCTACGTAAAAGTGATATTAACAAGTTGAATGGATTCGGAATGTATTGAAATTCGTTTTTATGTAATGAAAATGTTCCAACTGCAGGCCTTTCATTCTTATATTTAATGTTAGGTGATCCATATTAGACATGTTTTTCGTTTAATCATAAATGTTAGACGCGAATTATCATAAATCTGATAACAGTGCGTTGAAAATAAATAAATCCGTTTTATCAAAAGCCTGATGAATAAAACACACATCAAAACGGTCTGTCATGCACGGATACACACGCCGCAGCTATAGCTACACGCTCGTTTCATGGAGGCCCCCATAAAACTCCGTAATTGACTATTATGGTAGACACTACAAGCTTATCATGCTTTCTCTATCTCCGCTTTGTTTTCTTTATAGAGCCTTTGATTTCTATTCCATTTACTCGTTGATCGAAGTTTTATTTAAAGGAGTCTATCATTCGCTCTAGTCGTCCCTTGTAGCACACACAACATTCACAGAGCGGCGACTGTAAAGGCTTCGAAATGGGCTGGCTGTAAATCTGTTTGATGAGAGGGACAGTTCCGAATGTTAACACGAGAGCCGATTTCCATTTTATTATTCCCGCGTAACGATTCGGATGTGTTTCACACCTGAGCCCATCATTACACGGCGGCAATGTGACTTTGGATGGCCAGACAGATTATTCGCGAACGAGCGGACTTAAACAGTCGACAAACCTTTTATTACACTCGTATGAACACAATCATAATACGTAGGAAAGAAACCTTTCTACTACTACGAAGAATTTCTTTGTGAATAATATTTTTAGGTGTAGGTAGTATTCGATGAAAAGGTCTTAGAAATTGTATTTCTCTAGACCATATATCAAGAAATGATATTACCTACCTCTTTCGAAATCACAGCCACAAATTAAGTACAGCAGTTTTGATATTAAACGATAAACGTATCTCAATCGTGAAAAAAAATCAATTCTTCAAAGGATTATATTTCACCCTTCTCTAGACAGCTCTAGACAGAGCAGTTAATTAATGGGTAAAAGCGTAAATCTGCCTTTGAATTAATAAGCAGACTGCAGTATCGAATGGCAATTATCGAAACGAAGGGTTAAAACTATCCGTTCGTAGACTAATTAAAAGCGAGCGGAAATAACGTTTAAATTCACTGTAATTAAGCGGCGGCAACGTTCGACCGTGTGATATTCATACAAGTGACGGGAATTACACATTTGAGTCAGGGTTACAGGCTTTATCAAAAGGTCACGTACCTACTTAAAAAAACATCTAATAATGTGTCAGGGGTATCCTGATACTGATCAGGTGCTAAAAATTAGCTGTACTAACTTTGAACTTTCATTACTGTTTAATTCTTTTCGTAAGAACATTTCCTATGTAAAAGATAATGGCTAAGAAGCAGTATCATAATAATGATCCTGACAAAAAACTAATCTGTCTGGCCTTTGTATTTGGAAATTGGTAAACATTTATTTAAAAGACGGAGTAAAATTAATTTTCACGTGCTACGCTTTTGGTAAATAAATTTAAAATGAAAACTAATAGCGAAGCTTACTAGACAATAAGTCACATCGTGTTTTAAATTTAATTTTCTCTTGCGGTGGTTACCGTTCTAGATTTATGAACCTAGGGATCGGTTTGTCTATGTATTGCGATAGGTAGATAGGTACTTTACTTCCTCTAAAAACAGATAAGTAAAAACATAATGTGACATTCCTTTTCATTGTGCTACATATTATTATATCATGATTCATAAAGCATTTGATGTGTTCCGAAACTATTTATAGTAACGATAACTATTTATTAGGTTGCGCCTGATTAAATTAATCGCGTGAAAGTTTTACGAACAAGTTTGGGGCAATTTCGGTAAACGCACAACTTTTGCTGTGGGCCGAGGTAGGGCTGTGTCTTTTGTAAATGGCACGGTTATAGGCAAATACTACGATTATTCCATTTTATGTAAAAAAAGGTTGTTAGCAATCTTAAAAGGTGTTTCAGAAATTTTAAACCCTTCAGGGCTTTGGGACAAAGTGAAGCAAATCTAAGTATTTTAGTTTCACATGTCGATACTTAAGTCTTTTTTATTTACTTAGCTAAGTGTATTAAAAAGCCGCTTTCAAGTGAGCGCAGCCTGTAAAGTAAGGGCTTAGGGCACAATAGTCGAAGCCTGCGGGGTCGGCACGTACCAAGCCTCGCAAAAATATCTACTAAGGGCTGATTTTTCAATCGTCAGATATCTTTTAACTGAAGAATAACCTTGTCATTTTGACATATTTCCCATACTAAAACTGTCATGTGCCAAACTTATTCTTCAGTTAAAAGTTATCTGACGATTGAAAAATCAGCCCTAAGATAATAATTTCTTGGAATAGGCCGTCTCCAAACTCAATATTTTTTACAGCGACCGAATGTTCTAGCTGTGTGTGGAGGTCAAAAAGATTTTAAAAATACTTCCTTTTACAAAAAAACTCTGTTTACATTTATTTGCCCGAAATTAATAAACAGTCCCATAATTGTTTTCAAAATCATTTAGACTTAATGAATCCGCAAATTAACGTTGTTACTTAATTAAAAATTTTAGTACTTAGAGAAGGTTTTCTAATTTAAATAAACATAC